TTTTTTAGTAATTTCAGTTTTGAGAAACTGCGCTCACCAGAAGCCACTGATCCTGGTAATGTTAAAAGAATGCGTAATGCTAGAGCAGTGTTTGGATTTAGGTACTTGGGGATGTACATCCTGCCCGTGGGCCCCCAGCCCGATCTCAGACCCGGCCCCACTCCCACAGAGGGGACAGTAACTGACAGAGCGGCTGGGGGTGGGTCAGCCACGGGGAGGGAGGCAGATCAGGGGCACCCGCCCAGCACCGAGCCGCCCAGGGCAGCGGGTCCCTTACTGGCCGCGAGTCCTGCCCCGATCCTGGGCTCTGCTCCGCTCGGCTCGCAGCTCCTCCGCTGCTTGTGACTGCTTGTGGCAGGGGCGGGCAGGGGTGGAGGAGCTGCATCGCCCTGCTCCCCTGGCAGTGGGAGGCCAGGGCAGGGACCGCCCCCGGGCTGGGACCCCCGTGCTGAGCCTGCCGCCGCGCCCCACACAGGGGCTCATTGGTTGACTGAGTGGGGCTAGGGGGAAAAAAGGGATGGCCGGAAAGCCGCCCCTGGAAACGTGCCACCCCAAGCACGTGCTTGCTCTGCTGGAGCCGAGAGCCGGCCCTGGCTTTAGGGGCTCATACTGATCCGCTATTGACACACCGGCACATATCAACAGAGAAAAGACTACACTCGGGGAGTGATAAACACATTTATTCCTATCCAAACTGCACCATTGAACCTCTTGAGGTTCACAAGTCATTAGTAATGTTTGGCTTCTAAGTTCCATAACTGTTCTCTTGGTTGCTGCTGCCCGTGGGATATAATTTACCAAGGGCAATCTCACACCATTTGTTTTTAAGCAGCTCTCTACGTTGGTTCCAATGAGGAGATCTGTTCTTACTTATAGGTACGTAGCTATGAATCCATTTCTATAAGTCATGCCTGTTTCATTAAAAGGGGGGAAACCACTGACTTACACACAGAGAAGCATACCAAAGTGCATTTTATGAAAGCTCTCAAATTTTATTTCCTGCATTTGGACAGGTGGAGAGTCAATGGGGTCTGCCTATGTGTAGGTTACGACAAGATATGGCCCTAAAACATCTGAGATAAAATTCTAGACTTAAGACTTCTACAGTGACATGCCTTTACAGATTTCACGGTTTAGATGGTTAGATTCTGCTTGAATGAAAAAAAATCAGACTCTAAAGGCAATTATAGTTAACTTATTCATTTTTGTTTAGCTCATTTGAGCTAACCAAACTTTTCTGATTAACCAAGTACTCTGGGGTGCTAGATTTCCATCTGTACATGGAAAATCTATCTATCTATCTTTGGCATTTGTGTTGTTTTAAAATGACTAAACCTATGATACAGTCTGATCCTGTGCCCTATTAAAGGCAATGCAGTACAGTCGATTGGGCAGTACAGGGGGTGGATTGGGCCCTTAGCTGATGTGCAATGGATAACTTTGGAAAACCATCACTTTAACAACAATTCTGTCTCTGTTTCTCTCCTCTGATTCTTTATTACTAGGAACATTTGTAGGAAAGTAGGATCTTTCTTGCTGCTCTTGAGGGCTGCTCTCCATCCTAAGTTGTCCTGAAATCATTTTCCATGATAATCAATTGTGGCTGAAGAAAGGCAGATGCACTTGTTATGGGAGTTTTTAAAGTCTGTGGTGTGTGTCATTGCTCTTTAACTCCCAAGAAGACAGACAAAAAGATGCTGCGATACAACAGGAGCTACACCGATAATCATGTGGCGTGTGCATCAAAGAGCTTTGTTAAACCATATGATCCAAAAGTATAGTATCCTGGGTAATATGAACATTACCTGGCAACACCTGATGAACCTGAGTTGGGTTCTCATTTAGTCTTTGATTTAAATCCCACTATTTTCAAGGTTTCTTCCTACGTGATATTGCAAAGGCTGCGGCCAATGGTATTTCTAGCCTCAGATTTCCCACCAATTTCTGTATCAAACACATTTGGATAAACCTCCAGACTGCTGGATGATGATCAGAACTGCAGCTGTGATCCCTTTCATCCCTGTGATCCTAGCTGTGTTCCCTAGCCTCTGTTTGCTGGAAGCTGGGAATGGGTGACAGGGCATGGATCACTTGGTGATTACCTGTTCTGTTCATTCCCTCTGGGACACCAGGCATTGGCTACCATCGGAAGAGAGGATACTGGGCGAGATAGACCTTTGGTCTGACCCAGTACGGCCGTTCTTACATTCTTATGTGGCTTTTTAAACCACAGTCTATAGTAGGAGGAATGCAAAGGTGCACTACGCCAGCAATAGCTCCAGAAACATTGTGCCTCCAGACACTCTAAGGAGCTCACGTGGCAGCTGGCTCAACTCCCCTTTGACAAGGTGCAGCCAACTGGTGAAGGGGAGAGGCCACCTAGACCTATACATAGGGCCCTACCAAATTCATGGTCCATTTTGGTCAATTTCACAGTCATAGGCTCTTTTAAATCGTAAATGTCATGATTTCATGGTGCTGTTCATGGTGTTTTAATTGTAGCATCCTGACCCAGAAAGGACTTGGTTGGGGTTGCGGTATTGCTACCCTTCCTTCTGCACTGCTGCTGACAGCGGCCCTGCCTTCAGAGCTGGGCAATGGAGAGCGACAGCTGCTGGCTGGGACCCCGTCTCTGAAGGCAGAGCCACCGCCAGCAGCAGCGCGGAAGGAAGGGTGGCACGGTCTGGAATTGCCACCCTCACTTCTGCGCTGTTGCTTGCAGAGTTGGACCCTCTCCACCACTCTCCGACCGCCCCGCTCTGAAGGCAGCAGTGCAGAAGTAACAGCTGCATGGGATGGTGTTGCCACCCTTACTTCTACACTGCTGCGGGCGAGGCGCTGCCTGCCGAGCTAGGTGCCCGGCTAACAGCCACCGCTCTCTGGCCACCCAGCTCTGAAGGCAGTGCAGAAGTAAGGGTGGCAATACTGCTACCCCCCTCAAATAGCCTTGCGATATCCCTACAACTCCCTTTGGGTCAGGACCCCCAATTTGAGAAACGCTGGTCTCCCCTGTGAAATCTGTACAGTATGGGGGTAAAAGTACACAAAAGACCAGATTTCATGGAGGGAGACCATATTTCACAGCCCGTGATGCATTTTTCATGGCCGTGAATTTGGTAGGGCCCTAGCTATATGGTTTTCACCATCATTGTCAGTTCTAGAGTTGCCCCAATGTTTCCAGTCCCAAAACGCAACTATCCAAATGGTGACAATTCCTGCTCAAAAAGAACAGGAGGACTTGTGGCACCTTAGAGACTAACAAATTTATCAGAGCATTAGCTTTCCTGAGCTACAGCTCACTTCATCAGATAAGGTGCCACAAGTCCTCCTTTTCTTTTTATGGCTACAGACTAACACGGCTGCTGCTCTGAATTCCTGCTCAGCAGCACAGTAGCAGAGGTGATATAAAGCCTCCTTGAAACCTCTTTCCTGCCCATCCTTCTTGCACACCCACATCGGGCCCAACCCAGTCTAGCCCTATAGCTCCTCCTCTTTACTTGCCTGTCTCAGACATATCCACAGGGAGGATGTCACTGGCTTCTTGCCAGACCAAAGCTGTGTTTGAGTTATGTAAGCATAGACAAGCGCCCCGAAGCGTCAGCTTGTATTGTCTTTTTGCATACATGGAAGCTATAAATGCCCAGACGACACTTTGTCAAGCCAGGGCCGGCTCTAGGCACCAGCTAAGGAAGCAGGTGCCTGGGGCGGCAAATCTGAAGGGGCAGCGCTCCGGCCGTTCTTGGGGCGGCACTCGGATATCATCCTTTCCTCTTCTTATTCGGCGGCTGCTTTTTTTCCCCTTTTTCTTTGCTTCGCTGCTTGGGGCAGCAAAAAAGGTAGAGCCGGCCCTGTGTCAAGCTAGAGTGAATTTTTCTGATCAAGTTATCAAACCCTAAAACTGGGTTAATGGGAAACCTGACACATCCTGAATGGAAGCAGCGTGAAGACACTGCTCTAACATATACAGCATAGACTGAAATGTTCAGAGAAGTTCAGAGGATTTAGCCACACATCTTCCACTAATTTTAATGGCCAAATCTCATGGACTGCTTTGAAAAACTTAACGTATATTTATCTGCATATACAATTTAAACATTCTCATAAATTTTAAGGGACCATCATGATCATCTAGTCCAGAAGTGCCCAATCTGTGGGGCACACACCACTAAGGGGGCATGGAAGAACCCTTTGGGGGGTGGCCGGTCAGGCAAGCTCCCACAGGGGCAGGGAGGGTGCGCCACCTAGCCACATCTTGTCCCCTGCTCTGCTCCAGCCCTGCCCCCAGTTGTGGCCCTGGCTCCCTGACCTGCACCTCCCTGATCCCAGCCTCAGTGTACCTTGCACCCAGCTGGGGGCCCAGCTGCTGGCCCCCACCGCAACTCTGCTTCCACCCCCAGCCTCAGCCCCGGCCACAGCTCTGCACTTGGCCCCAGACCCACTCCCAGCTGCAGCCCCAGCCTTGCCCCTCTTATCCCTGTCTGCATTCCCCCAACCCCAAGCCACAGCCCCACTCCTTGCCCTGGCTCTGAGGAGCGTGGCGGGCGGGGGGGGGGGCAGACAGGGGGAAGGTTGGGCATGACTTTCAAAAGTTTGGGGACCATTGATTTAGGCTGACCTGCACATCACAGGCCACAGAACCTCACCCACCCACTACTATAGTAGGCCCATAATCTTTGGTTGAGCTACTGAAGCCCTCAAATCTTGATGTAAAGATGTCACGTTACAGAGAATCCACATTTACTCTAGCTTAAACCAGCATGTGACCCTCGTGCCTCAGGCTGCAGAGGAAGGCGAAAACTCTCCAGTGTCTCTGCCAATGTCACTTGCGGGAATATTCCTTCCTAACCCCAAATATGGTGATCAGTTAGATCCTGAGTTTGTGGGTGAGACCCACCAGCCAGACACCTGGGAAAGAATTCTCTATAATAACTGAGAGCCCTCCCCATCTACTGTCCACTCAGAACACACAGATATGTATTAATCAGTAGCAGATCTTAGTGTTGTTTTAGGATTTTTTTTCATTTATTACACATACAGAAGTGACATCTTCCAAGTTTAACCACCCAACACACACATATACATGAGAAAATGCAAAAAACTGCATGTTCTGCTGTGTTAAATTTGAACAGACAAAAACCACAAGAAGTCAGGAAACACAAAGTTTTTGGTTCTAAAAGCAACATTAACTCAGCCCCATTGTCCAACATATGTGTTTTGTGGTATTGTTTGAAATTAACATAAATACATCAGCCAGAAAAAACAAGAATGGAACATATCACACATATGGTAGATGGCCAAATGACTGTTGCTGTTAGGACTTCAACTTTTGCAGTACATTTTGTGGATTTAATTATGCAGTATTATTGTTCTTGTTATTATTTATTTATTCATGTAGCTCTTTAGCTGTGCATAGCATTTCACAGAACGAGCAATGACTTACTCTGTGCTCATAAGAGTTTACAGTCTTATGTCGGGCCCGGTCGGCAAACACTTACTGCTGGTTTCAGAGTAACAGCCATGTTAGTCTGTATTCGCAAAAAGAACAGGAGTACTTGTGGCACCTTAGAGACTAACCAATTTATTTGAGCATAAGCTTTCATGAGCTACAGCTCACTTCATCGGATGCGTACCGATGCATATTTGAGCTTATGCTCAAATAAATTGGTTAGTCTCTAAGGTGCCACAAGTCCTCCTGTTCTTTCTACTTACTGCTGAGCGTAGCGCTTACAATTATGAGGCATCTCTGTGATGTCATGGACTTCTTTTGGACTCCACATGGGCACAGCGGTCCACCTGTGCAGCTCAGTGCCAGGACAACACAGGAGGTGACAACAAATGGTGAGGATGGGGAAGGAGTGGGAGAAAGATTAAAGCAATGGAGTAATCCTGCCCTCAATGAAGTCAGTGGTAAAATGCCCATTGACTTCAGCGGGACAGGATTTCACACAATAAAATGATGTGGTCACTCTGGAGGCCAATGTAGTATCTTGGTGGTTACAATTTTTTTATGGTAATAGCAGTTGTTTTGACTTGATGAACATGGCACTAACATCACTTGTATCGTTTAATCTTTCTCTTCAAAAGAAATGAGAGAAAAGGAAATTGCTTGTGCAATCGGATGGTTGCTTTTTAAATGATCCCCTTTAGTTTTTGAAGCTCACACCTCACTGAGGGGAATATGGTGGGAGAGGGGTGAGTTCCAACCTCTTCTGCTCCTGTTATTTGCCTGGAGATCATTTTCTGTAAAACAGGTTCGTAGGGTAGCAGCATATTTGTTTACACCGTGGTGGATTTTTGTAATAGAAAACAATACAGGCCAATCCTTCAAAACTGACTGGTGATTTCAGGGGCCTCAGTTATTGAGTGTCTGACTTGGGACACCTTGAAGGGACCTGATTTTCAGAGAATGGGTGCTTAACACTTTCTGAAAATCAAGCACCTATAAAGTGTCTCAAGCTGGGCACCTGAACTCACTAGTCACTTCTGAAAAGCTTGGCCTTAGATTATATAGCAAATACTAACTATGCAATTAGAATGTCAGGACTACTGTAGAATGAAAACTTCAAAGAGACCCTAAAATACCAGATTCCCCAATTATTTTTTTTTTATTTTGCACTTGCAATTTTTTCCTGGCCGGGATGTTTAAGTAAGTATTTTTGGAGGATTTTGCTGTGCATTTTTCAGTGAGACATTTACAATTTCTGACATCTCTATTGTCTCAGCACTAGTCAGAGAGGCACAATCACACTCACTGTCTGAGCAGCCAGGCAGATGTACAGTGATGACAAAAATAAGACAGGACTCAAGTAGGCTGTGCCAAAATTCTTAGCAGATAGCATGCTCAGAAGTCATTTTGCAGGTGCTTATCATTTTAAAAAATATTTTTCTACAAACCAAGGAAGGTTTCAAGTTTCGGACAGCTGTTTTGCTGCTGCCATGTCCAAAAAAGGGTATTTAAAAGATCTTTAGTAGGAGGCATTTTTGCTTAATTCTCCCATAGCTCAAAACATGACAGAAGTGATTTAGTTCAAACTTATCCAAATAAAATAAAAATTCACTCTGGACCTAGCATGGAAAATTGCAGCTCAAAAGGTGAATGTTTCAGGAAGCATTGAGTGTATGAAAACAGCAAGTTAGGCTAGAAAGTGTTTTCAATCTTAATTATAGCAATTGCTGCCAGATGCTTGCTGAAATGCATTATGGGCCAGATTCTCAGCTGGCATTAATTGATCTACATCCAGTATCCATAGGCACATCATTCATTAGACTGAGGAAGACCTATCTTCGCTCACATGCTATTTCATTATATATATAATTCGCTTTGGAGGTGCCACCCTTTTTGCTTATGTCAAACCAAACTGGTCATATATAGACTACTTCTGAAGCAGTTAAGGCTTAATCAAAAGCCTGTTGAAGTCAATTAAAAGACTCCCACTGGCTTCTATAAGCTTTGGTCAGTCTCTCAAACTGTTGAGTTAATATTTCTCATGTTGTCCTTAGTATTTTGCCATAACATTCAAGATAAGATTTTTGAAGGAACCTCAGGGAGTTAGGTGCCCAAAATCTCAATGCGATTCAACTCCTTTGAAAATCCAAGCTGGAGTCAGTGCTCAATAAAATACTTGGTAAATTCATTTTCCCAGCCTTTCTGTAATGTGTCAGAAATTTTCTTTCCCCCATCTGTCTCTTCCTGGGATCTATTCTACTTCTTCAGGATGTGCTGCTGAATTTGATTCTGAAGAACCAAGCACTCAAGAGCAGCTTCTGATCATAAAAGCTTTAGAGTACCGAGGTGTACCCATGGTTGCAACCTTGCACTTTATATCAGGCGTGTGTTGCTCTTGTAGGGGCATGTTTTAAAGTGATGAATCCTTAAAGATTGTCAGATTGTGTTCCTGAATGTACTGCAGTAGGATCTGTCCTCTTCTGTTAATGACTTGAAGCAAGTGTCTAAGTCCTTGGTATCCACCCTGGCTTTCCCAGAATTCCTGATCCATGTACAGTGACTTCAGAAGCATGTTCTGTAAACATCCCGATTTGAGCACGGTCACAGCTGTCTCAGGAAACCTGATGAAGAAAATCAGAAGAGGGAAAGAAAAGGAGTTGGAAAGATAAAATCATATAGCTAAGGGGTTAGGGCAGGAGAATAGTGTTTGCTCCATTTCTGTCTCTGTCCCTGGAAGTAGTCAGAGTTCTGTTCTGTTCATATTTTATGCAAAGCAGAGATTGTTTTGGTGCTAACTATTTTTCTTGGCTGCAGAGATGTTGAAAGCTATAACAGTTTAATAAGCACAGAGTGAGAGAGCTGGCCCTCACCAAGAACATTTGAATCTGGATTTTCAACCCTTCAGTGTTCGGGGGGGGAGGGAGGGGTTAGATCCTCAGTTTAGGTCTATGTCCAGCTCTTGCGAGGATGCACGAGAGCAATTCAGTGTGAGAAATATACCCTGATATTAAAGGGCTATTACCCTGCTAACCCAATAGGTTCCAGGCATATGCTTTAGGGGACACAAGTTGCCCAAGTGTCTTGGGACAAGTTATTCCTTAGCACATAGAAAGGGACTCAAGTGGCAAGAATTGGAGCTATGTCCAGATTTCAAATTACTCAAAGTCCAGGATTATTCTGGTCCAGGGGATTGAGTGGTTCCCATTTCTGCTAACAAATGACAATGGATGTAAACTATATAAAACTCTGCTTGTAATAGGCGAGCTGCTTCCACAACAGTGCAATCAGAAATGAATCCAAATGGTCTCAAATCAAAAGACTGATAACATGTGAAAGCTGGATATGCAATGACACATGAAATACTGAAATACCTGTTTGTTTGCTATTTTGGGCAGCTGCCAGTTACAGGGAAAATAATATGCTTTATAGTTTCTGAGATAGTCATCAGCCACCCCCAGTGTGAGATATAAATATTCACCTCAGTGTGAAATATGCACACATAGGGCCTGATTCTGATCTCACTCTAATTTTATACCACTGTATCTCCATTAATTTCAGTAGAGCCACTCCTGATTTACACTGGTGCATGTTAGCTCAGACTGAGGCCCTATATTTGTGTTTCTGATATCTGTGCAGGTAGGACCTTATCCAAACCCCACTGAAATCAATGGGAGTCTTTCCACTATCTTGACGGCGACCTGTCTCAGCCCCCCCATATTGAGGCTTGAGCAAAAAGGCAATCCAAGAAACTAAGATATACGAATGTGGGATTGCACAAGCTTTCAGTCATGGTATATGTGGAACAAACATGGTTGTGGCGGGGGTGTAGATATCAACGAGGTATATGCGAATGTAAAGGACTCAGTCTTTCTACTGGTGGTGAGCCCTAAGAATCACTGTCTAGAAGAAAACTTCACAAACACAGGCAAGCCCCATCCAGTCCAATTTATTTTCTCTAGAGACACATCTGTTTTTATTGAAGAACCTTAACTGTTCTGCCTTATATATTCCGAAAGGAAGGGAATGTTCCAGTGGCCTGGGCTGTGACCCTCCGGTACTGTTAGCTAGAATTGCTTCTGTTGCCCTTCTCACCCATCTATGCCTTCCAGTAGCCTGAAGTCGAGTTTTGCTTCCGGATGGTGAGGTCTGCCTGCATTGTCAATGAACACCAAGCGAGAAGGCTCACTTCCCCGGATCTGGTAGGAAAAAAGCAAGAAGTTCAAATTTGGGGGGGGGTTCTTTGAGCTGACATTTTGGGAGGAAGGGTAATTTGTATGCAAAGAGTGATTTTGGAACATTTAGGGTTGGCAGCAACGACAGTCCATAGCAACGGTGGAACCAGGGATCACGTATTAACTCTTAGAGACTAGCTTCTTGTCTGCACCCAGGCCAGTGCGACAATGCATTGCCCTTTACCTTGGAGCTGATAGCAAAACCACAATTTAACCCAAAAGTCTTAAGTTGCTGAACATATGTACTATCTGCGCCAAATAAAAGGCAGAGAGTCGCCATGGCCAGGTCCCTAAAGTTAAACTCATCTTGTCCCCAAGGATTAAATTGGTCTGTAGATTTCTAAGATGAAAGTCAGATTGTCATTATCTAACGTTACTGAGCAACCTCAATATCACACTTCATTCTTAACTGCCTATTTTATTTATTATTATCCAGGGACAATATTTATTATCAGCACGCTATTTAATTTCATGGTGAGAAGACATGTAGATTGAATTTCATTTGTTTAATATTCTGGCAGAATAAAATGTGTGTATTGTTGAAGGAATACAGCCACTGTCTGACTGTTATGTCATGCTGAACTTTTACTTCAGAGGAGCGTACGGGGCTATGCAGCCAGAGGGAGATCATGTCATTCTGTTTTTTAAGGCTGTAACTTTAAATGGAGAGAGGTCTCCCTGCCTCATGCTGTCACACTGCTTTTCATTTCAGACACAGAATGTTACAAAGAGGATCACACACTGTGCTTGCTGCTCGCTCACCCTCACCGACTCTCAGGACCAGATTCAGATACACTTATACTTACTATACTTTTACTTACACTGAGCAACAAATTACTCCACCAATTGTCCCATTGACTTAGTTATACATATAAGAATCTAACCTGCAGACATTTTACTTGTTCTTTATTTTCTCTTACCCTGAAATAAAAGTTACCTAGACATATTTTGCTCTTTGCGGTGGGGGTAAAAACATAACAAGAGTCAATAACAGAGAACCAGTCTGGCCTGCTATAGAAAATGTAGACATTAGAAACTGAAGGGATGGAGGCAAACACAATGTCTGGCAATATCATACCAGGATGTGGACCAGGACCAGCTCTGCAGGATTCCTACACTTTTCATGAAGCATTTCCTCCATGCAGGGTTCTTCAGGGTCTGGCTGAAATCCACAGCAGTAACGGTCCAGTCGGTCATGAACCTGTGGGTGACATCTGAAGTATTTAGAGGCTTCAGGAATTTCAGGATGGAGATCTTAAGTTGTAGTTTAACAGGGAACTTTTCGTGCCTGGAAGAAAAAAGCTTGATAAAATTTAGAGAAAAATCCAGATTATTCGTTACTGAAAGAGCTGTTTATATAAAAGATTGGTGGGTGTTCAGAAACCCATTCAGAAATTTAGTTGCTTTTCTGTACTCTAGCTAAACCATTTTAGTCTGGAAAGTGGACTGCAAAGCTCCCAATAACAGGCTTTCCTGCAAGATTTCAGACACTTCCTGCTTGCAGTATTTCAGTAGGCGATGTTTGCATGGACTGAATAGATTCTGTTTCTATCTGAAACAAAGAGGAGATGCATATAAAAACTAAGGCAAAACAAAAAAAAATAAGTTAATTGATTTTTTTGAACTTCAGAAAGGGATTTTCTCAGGCAAATTCAAATGCTGGATGAAGGTTTAGATTGGTTCCTGTTTTATATGAACCATTTCACCCTTCCCTAATAATAATCTAAACAACTCTTGATAGAAATGAGAAGAAGGGAGAAGGGAGCGTGGGGAATTGTTTTATACTTGCTTGGCCCGTTGGTGCATTCTTAACACCTGCATAGTGCGGGATTTGTCCTGCGTGCAGTTTGCAGACCAAGGTGGATACTCCAGGTGGGACACTGTAACTTGCTTTTGCTGCATCTGTGTTTAGTAATTCATGGGCACTTTTGAACGTGCTCCTCCTCACTCCTGACAGCCCATTCAATGAAATGCTGATGCCCTCCCTGAAGTCCTGCTCCTGCTCTGGAGCCTTTACTGGAGTGTGCGTTATACAGTCCGGGGCACAGAAACAACTGTCCTCTTGTGGATCCTTAATCCAATGTCGAGATTTTAATTTAACATCTTTGAATTTAGCCTGACATAGGGATGAAGCTATTTGACTTTGGGTTTATTCCCCCGATTTTTGGTAGGTGAGTGACCCAATGTTAGAACCACCACCGCTAGGAAGGAGCCACCTCTGGCAGCAACTGGCATGTCTGAAATTGTCATCCAAATCCTTAGGGTCAAATCCTCCCCTAAGCATATGATTTGGCACAGGGGAAAAGGAGTCCTTTCATGGGCTGTTATGGGGTCGCTACTTTAGTCCATTGCCCTCCTGCTGTATACTTGCCCCATAGAGGTAATGGCTGGTGGATGCCCCTAATGGCAGACGGGCTGGTCTTACCATCACTCCCCTCTGACCTGCTCCATTTACTAAACCCAGGCAGAAGGTATTGGGCTGCATGACACCTACGTGTGCATAGACTTTCTACATGAACATGGGCCCCTGTCTTTGTCTCTACTCCACTCCTAAAGAGTGGAACCACCTCACTTGTGCTGCACGCATGACACTCCATATCCTTGGAGGAAGAAATAGGATTTGATTCTCCTTCAAGATTAAAGTTATCACTATCCAGTGAAACCCAGAAGCCATAATCCCTTTCTAATTTTTCATGCCCCACGCTGTTAGTTTTGTCACAATAAGCTATTGGTTTTTATGCTGCTTTGTACAAGGCAGCCAGTCTGCTGTCTCGGTTATATAATAATCACCGCAGAGGTGTGCAAAAGTGCCAGGGCTGCATACAGGAGACTGACTCACTGCTTTCTCCGAAAGAGGCCTGGCCAGAGCACAGCCACATAAATCAGCTCCTGCAAACACATCACACTTTCCTGAAACGGGACCAGTGCTGCTGAGGCAGGCAGAATTTCCAGAGTTGGTAGAGAAACTGACTGATTTTGCATGAGGTTGCCAAGGAATCTGGTTCAAACCAGAGACCTGTGAATCTATATAGCCTGGTTTGGGGTTATGAACCTGTAACTCAGGTCAGGTTTGCTAAGGTTCGCGAACCATTTGGTCAGGCTGGGCCAAATTTCAAGTGAACCTGACCTGAGTTTCAGGTGCCAAGGAGGGATTTCTGATTTTCAGTGGAAACCATGTGATACTAGGTGATTTCCACCATTTCAACTTAACACCTACCAAAAATTTTAGCTGGATTGTGTTTTGTCTGAACCCCAAACTCAAATCAAAGCACAGAGGAATAAGGTGATATAAGGAATGCACAGTTTGATTTGCGTGACCATTATATTCCTAGCCCTCTTAGATCCCATATTAATTAATTTGATGCCCTGCTAGTATTTCTTAACACAGGCCCATCAGCTGATGTTTAATGAGGCACTCCAGGCAATATTTCTCCTTCCAGGAAACCCAAGAGCTAAAGTATTTTCTGAAACCAAACGCATTTGAACTCAGGAAAATGTCACACTTATTCCATGCACATCCTACATCTAGGTGCCTGAAAGTGCAGCACGCTGATTTCTCCCACCTTTTACATCATTTTCCATGATAGCAGAATTAATAGACTGTGCAGAACATAAAGAAAATCTCAGCTGATTTACAGAGAGACTCAGTGTGCTTGTGCACTAGCCAGACGTTTGACTCGGCATACTTACCAGGAGACTACGAAAAAAATCCTCCAGTTGTCATGCACAGGAGGAGACACTGGCCACATTTTCAAAGGTAACTGCATTCCAGTTTGGATGGGTACTTATGTCCACAAATGCAGCTTTGCAAACTGGGAAATTGCCCATGAGAATGGGCAATAACATCTTGTGACTTCCCTCCCACCACTCTGGGGGGGGAAGATGGCAGCCAACAGCATGTATGCCAGTGAGACAGAGGGTCAGTTTGGATAATGAGCATCATGGAAATACTCTTATGACAAAAGGCCTGGGATCCTTAATGTTCATGCAGATCAGACAAGACCTAGATTTTGCAGGTGTCATCTGAAAAACTCCCATGAAATATATTACATCAGATTCCTATGTCCTGCCTCAGGAGGGAACAGCCCTTTTATTAACTGCACAAGTAAAGTATTCAACTGAGTCTGAGTCTGCTCAGGTGTCTAGAAACAGCCAACTCATACTGGGCATGCTCAGAGGCTTGAGACATGCATTAATATCATCAGTCTCATGGTTCTATTACAGCGGTTCTCAAACGTCATTGCAGCATGACCCCCTTCTGACAACAAAAATTACTACACAACTCCATGTGGGGCTGAAGCCATAGCCCGAACCAAGACGGCCTGGGCAGGGGGGCTGAAGCCCTCAGGCTTCAGGGCTTAAGCCTTGGGTGGCAGAGCTCAGGCTTCAACTTCAGCCCTGGAGCCCAGAGTGTCTAATGCAGGCCCTGGCAACCCCATTAAAGAAGGGTCATGACCCACAGTTTGAGAACTGTTCTATTATATCATTTTATTAGCATACTCAGACCCATCCTACTATAGAATACCTACCTTTCTATCCCCTCTCCTCCTTTGCTGAAGGCTGACCCCAGCCCACATTGGGTTTTCATTAAAAAACCTCCTTTACTCGGTACTTGTGGTAACTGTTATGTGTGCCCATCTGGATAGGAACGTTTTGCCTGTGCTCCACCCACTGGAATTTGGGAAGCCGTATCTTTTAGCATGTTGCTGGGAGACTGTTTTTAGGAAACCAAGGAATAAATGTATATTAGAATAACAGAAGTTATAAGGTACAGCCTGAGTCTGACATCTGACTTAAGTATCTCTCCAGGAGCTGGTTTGGCTAATTGTCCCTGGCTGACGATGATGATGTTGCAGAACAGTTGTGATGCGCAGTGTAGGGTTGACACACCTACTCTCGTTTGACATCTGCTCCCCTGGACAGTCTGTGTCTTTATTTACAGTATAGGTAGAGCCCAGGGAAGACCATATTCCATCTAGGCTTTACCTATACAGTTTATTACATCGTGTACATTTCTGTAATAGAAACAGATACATACCATCCATCTAATGATCTCAAATGCTTTCTAAGCATTAATGATTTGAGCCTCTCAACCACCCTATGAAGGAGGTAAGTAGCTTTATACCCCTTGTACAGATGAGGAAACGGAAGCAGAGAATTTCAGTGACTTAGCCAACGCCACAGAGACTGTCTAGAGCAGTGCCGGGAATAGAACGCAGGTCTCCCAACTCGAAGGTCTACGATTTAGGAGTGAGACTATTTATTGTAAATGTCCTGTTGGAAAGGAGGTGTTTGTAAGGGATTTCAATGGCACGAGTAGTTACAATACAACAGCCCATATATTAGAGGCTGCCTTATACTGCAGAGCGCTTTAATGTGCAGGGAGAGAATATGACCTATCTGGACCACTTAAGTCACAAAATATGAGGCCTGATTTTGTAAAGTGCTTGAGGGGTTCCTGCTTGTAATGGAAATCTAAGCCTTTTTCTGGCAGGTGTAGGAGAAAAAAGGGAAGGTCTTGAATTTGACTTGTACACAGTTGATAGGAAATTGCTGGAATGACATAATAAATTGTTATTTGAGCTTCCAAAAACACTTGGTTACATTGCCAAAAGTTAATAAAATGATACTGTGCAAACAAATATTTCTTCTAAGGAAACTTTCTAGTTCATATTTTTTACAAGAACTGAAACAGTTTAGAAAAACCTGGGTCCCCTGAAGCCCAAGGGAGAAAGAAATAGCAGGTGTATGGATGGTTAAACCACAGTTGGGGAAGTTTTTTATACTATACTACTACTAGCGGTTGGATGCTGGCAAAGGGGATCAGACTCAGAGCTGTGCATAACTGGCTGGTTTTGGCCCGCATGGGTGTCAGAGAACTTTGTCATCACTTTTGGCTCTCTTAGTTTCTCACTTCTCACCCCTCTGAGTTGCTCTTTACAAGTTGAGTGGATTCTAACCAACGATGGTGAAGGCACGTTGAGTTTAGTTAAGCTCCATTATATTATATTTGGGGTTTGCAAGGCTTCATCCAGCCTGGAAGAGTTACCATGTTGCAACATATTGCAGGTTTCATACCAAAAGAACAAAGCACCATCTGGAAAAATTCATGCCTTGCCAAACACTCCAAAAAAGTTTAAATAAGTTTCCAGCCTTCCAAAATGGTAGCAAGTCACTCTCTAGGAGCAGTGTATATAGTTT